CACACCAGAGAAACTATTCGGTATTTACAGATGTGTGACTTATTTATTTCACTTAGGAGTATATCCTCAATAATGATGATTCTTTCTAGTCTTCTTAAACTCTATTTCATATTATTTTAAAACTTATATTTACATCATTATTTACTCTAAGATAATTTTCAAAGATTTGAAATTGACTAAATTTTGCACACATTTCTTACCTTTTATTTTCAGCAAAGCTGTTTCTAATGTTAAACTACTACAGAATTGTTTGAAGAAAAATCATTTACAAAAATGTAAAAAGAGCAAACAATGTTCAGTCTTTTACTTGAAGCAACAACAAAGTTTAGAACATTTTGTTATTGATTTCTGAAAGTAAAAGGATTATTTTTAACATGAAAGCTCTTGGACCGAAAGTTTCTTAGAGTATGTGATATACTTTATACTGAAGCAGAATTTAAAACCAGCTGATGAACAGAGGATATATGTGATAAAACTTCTATTTTTTACAATTTTAAATTTCAACACCTTGATCAGCAATTATTTTTAGTTTGAACTTAGTATAAAGTCATTTATATACAATACATTTTTAATGTTGAAATCGTATTATTCATGGCTTTAAATTCAACTCAGAAAATGCCTTAGATGCAATTTTCTGGTAAATGTTTTATTAAAAGAAATGTGCCTTTATATAGAGCAGATTATTATGGACAAAATATAGTCATGATTTAAAACAGCTTATCATTATACATTACATTAAAATTGCATCATTACATTAAAATAATGATAGTGATGGCAACAACATAAAAAAGCGTAGCATATCAGTCTCCAAATAATTTCTATAAAGTCAGTATTTCACTATTGTATGTATATACGAGAAATCCGGAATCTGAACTCAGTCACTCTGACTTGCAAAATTGCTATCTCAACCACTATTCTGCTTCAGAACAAACATACTTGGCCAGATGTGGTGGCAATGCCTGTGTTCCCAGCACTTGGGGGGCTGACGTGGTAGGATTGCCATGAGTTCGAGGTCAGTCTGGGCTCAAGTGGAAGGCCAGTATGAACTACATAGTGAAAAAAAAAAAAAAAAAAAAGAACAACAACAAACATACTCTAAGCTCTTGAACTACTAATTGCTCTTCAGAACAGTTAGATACTTATTTAAACCCTTTTCATATACATTTTTCAGCAGTTTATGTAATATAATTTAAGCGAAAAAAATGAATACTATTTCATTACTTTTCTTATTTTGCATAGGAGCATAAAATAATGGCCTGTGAGTAAGAAAACCTAAAGATGAGAAGAAAACTATGGATTTTAGTGCATGTCTTAATCAGCTTTTCAAAAATACAGTTTACTACGTAATGAGCTGACGATCTGATCCAACATCAGAGGGCTGACCAGTAGGGCTGATTTTGCATAAGTGAACGTTTACAAACACTTTCATCACCATTCTTAGGAGAAATTGCAAAGGCATGGAAGTCAGAGGGCTCAGGGCTTCATTTCTGCTCTGTTAAGTATCTATTGGTTTTAGTCACACACGTAACTCTGAGAATCCTTTTCTTCACCTTTAAACTGAGAAGGTTTGAGTTTTGATCCAGAGCAACTTGAGGATTTCCTCTAGGTCTATACCAATTCTTACGATTCTATGACCTTGATCTCATTAGTAGTACGTTAACTGTCAAAATTGGACCTGAATTGAAGATATTGGATTTCTCTCTGTATGTGATAGGAGCTGTTGAAATTGTGATTGTTTTCTTTCTCTGTGCCCCTTCAAAAAACTTCACTTTTAGAATAGAACAAAGGTGCATGGATTGATTGGATAGAGAACATTTTAGAAGGGAAAAGAAAAAATATGAGAAAATGCAAAAATGGAAAAAAAATTTTGATAATAGGGAAGGGAGGAGAGGGTGAAGGGAGGTTAAGGGAATAGGGAAAAAATGAGAACCAAGACGTCATGTAAAGGTACAAGATCCCAATGATGAATGTAACTGTACTATATACCTAAAAAGTACCGATACACTCGAGGGGAAAAAAAGTTATAAATTATTTAACAAGCCAAATTACCAGGATTAAAGATGCTTAATTAATTGAATGTCTAAACTTAAAAATAAATGTTAAATCAACAGTCTATTAAGTATAATCTGCCTGAACTAGAAAAATAAACAAAATATATTATCACATTTTATTCATGTAAAAAAGTTTTATAATGTGTAAACAGAGAATGACTCTGTTACTAGCCTCTGGAAAAGATACCCTCACTTGGTATTCATTTACTTTGATCCTTGAATGGTGTGCTTAAATAGCTGGAAGCAATCTACAACACTTAGAAAACACTAAACTGGGGAAGTTAAGAGAGGTATCTGCACCAGGGGAACTTTTTTGCCGATAAAAGCTGCTTAGTTCCAACTGTCTGAACTCAGATGTCAATCCATTCCCAAGAAGGATACATACGGGTGATAGATGGAAAGGATATTTTAAAATCTGCTTGAGCTTGCCAATCTGGAGGTTTGCCCAGGAAAAAGAGCCACAAAAAATTCACGATGGAAACAAGCACATTTTTTCAAATTTATGCAGATCTTGAGAGCCACAGAAAGTAATTGGACAGAAGCCCATCACTAAGTAGATAATGATTTCATCATTAATAATTACTGTGACAGTTATTTTAACTGCCTTTTCTCTAATGTCAGTTGCAGTGACTAAATGAGTACATGTATTAGTTTTATGCAATATCACGATTGAAAAATACTTTCCTCACATGTCCTTTTAAAGCTTATCCTGCTTTTTTGTACCTAGCTGAATCTAAATCATTTTTCAAATATGGCTATGCTGTCAAGTAGAAGTAGTAGGAGTATTTCTTTCTCTAGTACGAGCATCTCATTTTGAATTGTCAAAAGCAGCAGAAAAGCCAAATGACATATATATATTTTAAAATGAAGATATGATTAATATCGTGGTTCATGTTAAGTACTTGTTATAGCATTATATTTTTTCTTTAATAGAAATATTTTTTGACAGTAAAGTGATGTTAACACATCAAGGGAAACATTGTGTATTGAAATAATAATAATGTTCATTGACCATTTTGCAGATATTAGTTGAATTGTTATGATTTATTCTAAATAAGATATTTTAATCAAAATGTACTAAATGAACTAAGCCAAATGTAGTAATAAGATAATAGCTTGGAATGGAGACAAAGTGTTGTTAAAGACAAGAATATGATTTTTAGTGTTAGTGCTAGAAATCTACAATTTTAATGTTTAGAATCACTACAAATTATAATATGAATGATTAAATTTTAGAAGATGAACTTCATTTGAAAGAGCTTTATTTCATTGATTTAACTAAAATTTCTCAATTATGTTAGAGGAAGAAAACATGACAAAACATTTTTAGTAACTTGTTTTTTAATTGAAAAATAACTTTATGATATAGTGATTGCTTTTATAGGCAATAAAAGTTTTGAGATAATGAAAATATTCAAGATAGAGTTAAATAATCATATTTAATTTTGCAAAAACATTTAATATTCAGCTATCAAGATGGTCATCCTGAAAACATTAATGTAAAGCAGTAAATTCTAGCATCTCAAATTACAGCGCTGTTTGAGAATAGGCAGATAAGCAAGACAAGGTTATACTTATTAAAATTGAGAAATTAACATAAAACAATATTCAGAGGCACCAAAATAGAATAGACTTCTAAAGATTAATTGATCTGTACTCTTTTAGAATATATTAGTTGATGCACTCATTTTAAATGAAAGACCAGCATTTACACCATCAACCCAACTATTATGGCTCACCCCTGATAACCAGATAGCAATCCTTCCTGCATATTGTCAGAGAAGCTATTGTTTAAAATTACAAGGTGGTGCAGTTTGGGATGAATTCTGACTAATCATCTGAAATTCAAAGAAAAAACATTCAAAATGAAAGTGATATTTAAGAAAAAGTTTCACTACTGAAATGTTAGAAATTATTCTCTTACCTTTCTTTAGGATAATTTAAGTGCCTCTAAACTTCTTATGACTTTTACTTTATTCTTTTTATGATGAGTAGTATAGAGCCTAATTTGCTTGTGGTGAAATAATTTTTATTTGGATTTTAGGAAGGAATAGACACTGTAGATAGTAGATTATTTTATTTTGATAACTTAGATTCAAACCTTAATGAAATAATTGTGTATTTGGTTGTTTAATTACTCTTATTAAGCAACTGCTATTCCTAAGATTATAAATTCTATGAATACTGGGATGGTGTTTGCTTGGTGAACTCCAGCCTTAGAACATAACTTTTGACTCCATATGATGATAGACAATTGCTCAATAAGAACTTGTTGATTAATTTAGTGAATGTCTTGGCCCCTTGCTAGAGGGAAGGGAATTCAAGCCAAGCTATTGACTCAGTGCTCAAGAACTAATTAGAATTTGTAAGTGACACAGTATAATCATCAAATTCACGGGTAAATTTCACAGTGAATTCAATTGCTATTACTACTGAATAAGGCGTGCCCATTATGAGTAGCTTTTCTGAATCGTTTTTTGTTGTTGTGTGATTTCATGGTTTCCTACGTGTGGAAATGTTTTATACATTATGCTGCTGTATAAATGTATAAAATATGTATACATTTACACTTTACTTGGAGTGTTAAAAAAAAAACTACATGGCGATAAGAACAAATTCACTAGTTCATTAGAAACTCTCAGGGAGAATATGGCCCAGCACTTATAGAAAACCAGGAATTGTGATCCAATCTCTGGAGACATTGACAGAACTTGGAGCCAGATTCGTTGTAACAAAGTGAAATGTTGCAATGATCTATTTCTTAAACAGTCTCAAATTAACTATTATCAAATTAAGAAAATTATTTAATATAAACTCTAACATTTCTTTTATTTTCAGCTCCCATAAAACCAATAAAATGGCCCACTAATTATATTACTCATCTTGACAGAAAAAAGTCAACGACTTCCATCTAAAGTCTTCTCTTTTTTTTCTTTCTTTATTTTTCAGTGCTGGAAATTGAAACAATGACCTCACCTCTAGCAAGTGCTCCACTGCTAAGCTACAAAGCTGTGAAGCCTTATCCTTCAAAGTACAAACTCTAAGAGCTTGTTTGAGTGCAGAATCTCAGACTCAACCTGATAACTACTAAGTCAGAATCTGCATTTTCATAAGATCCCCACCTGGTTTACAGGCAGCTTAGATTTTTGGATCCCCTGATCTGAAGCACAAGCAGTAAACATTAGAAAATAATCAAATCAAAATTTTAAATTATAATTATTGCTACAGTTAAAGTGCATTAGAACTAAGCAAAGTGGCAAGGAACTGTATTCCAGCAAATCAGGAGGCTGAAGTAAGAAGATCACAAGCTTGAGGCCAGCCTAGACCATTTAACAGGACTTTGTCTCAAAATTATTATTATTTTTAATTTTTTGAAAGGACTGGGATTGTAGCTAAGTGGTACAGCATCCCTGGGGTTGAACACCAGTACTGCAAAACTAACAAACCAACCAACAGAAAGGAAGGGTGGAAGGAAGGAAGGAAGAAAGGGAGGGAGGGGAGGAAAGGGAGAGAGAGAGAAAGAAAAAGAAAAAGAGAGAAAGAAAGAAAAATTTCATTATCCATTCTGTTTGTTTCATCATTTATAAAACTGAACCATTACAATACCTAATTCATAGAATGAATTTGAAAACTTAATGGCTCATAATATTATTAGTTAGATAGTACATGCAAAGCTTTCTGCAACACGCTAATGACAGATACTAATAAATTATAAATGAAGTCAATATTACCTTTTACTAACTATTCCTCTACTCAAGCTTTTCTCTTTCCAATTTTCAAATTATCTCAATTCAGTAACATCAACATATTAACTTGGAAATTCTGGTTCAGCCAATCATTCGAAATGGCAACTACAGTGCATCATGAGAAATATTAACTTCTTTTTGGTCTTCTGTGGTAGAGGGAATGCCATAAAATAAAAAAGAGTTCTACTCTGGAAGACATTGGTATAGGAAAAGACTTTATGAACAAATCCTCAGTAGCACGGGAACTAGCAGAAAGAATCAACAACTGGGATCTCATCTTACTAAAAAGCTTCTGTACTTCAAAAGAAACCATTAGCAGAACTAAGAGACAATCTACAATGTGGGAAAAAATTTTTACCAGCTGTACCTCAGACAAAGGACTATTATCAAGGATATATAAAGAACTCAAAACAATCAGTCCCCCCAAATATAAAGACCCGATCCAAAAATGGGCATCCGAAATGAACAGACATTTCTCATACAAAGAAGTGAAAGCAGCAAGAAAATATATGAAAAAATGTTCCACATCACTGGTCATTCGAGAGATGCAGATGAAAACAACACTGAGATTCCACCTCACCCCACAAAGAATGGCTGCTATCAAGAAATCACACAATAACAAATGTTGGCGGGGTTGTGGGGAGAAAGGAACCCTCCTCCATTGTTGGTGGGAGTGCAGACTAGTGCAACCACTATGGAAATCAATATGGAGATACCTCAAAGAGCTTGGACTGGAGGTTCCATTTGACCCAGCCATCCCTCTGTTGGGTATCTTTCCAAGAGAACTAAAAGAATCATATCACAGAGAAGTATGTGCACCCATGTTTATAGCGGCACAGTTTGTAATAGCTAAATCTTGGAAACAACCTATTTGCCCATCCGTTGGAAACTGGATAAAGAAGTTGTGGTTTTTCTATAAAATGGAATATTACTCAGCCATAAAGAGCGAGAGAATAGATTCATTCATAGGAAAATGGATACATATTGAAGATATACTCCTAAGTGAAATAAATAAGTCCCACATGTGTAAATACCAAATAGTTTCCCTGGTGTGAATATTCTGCAACAATGCATAAGATTCTAATAAGATTACTGACATTTAGAAATGGGAGGAAAGGAGCTAAAGGTGTAGGGAAGGTGTGATACGTAGGGGAAGAACAAAAAGGGAAAAGAAAAAAATGTGAGAGAATGAAAAGATGAAAATAAAGTGTTTGTAGATGGGGAGGGGAGGAGGGGGTGAAGGGAGGGCAGAGGTAAGGGGAAAAAAATGAGAATCAAGACTTGCCATGTAAAGGTACATGATCCCAACAATGAATGTAACTGTACTGTATCCCTAAATGTACCAATAAACTCAATAAAAAAAAAAAAAAGAGTTCTACCTTGTCCTACTTGTAAAACCTAATATTTATTAAGTTTTACTAAAGATCAATTCACTGCTCATGAAAATTCTTCAGTTAAATTATGATCCCCAGTTAAAATGCCTTCCTTTTAGTCACATACAAAAATCTAAAATGAGAAACTATGTAAATTTAGATGAGTAGATTTTTCTAACTTCTACAGAAATATAAATAAAATATAGAAAACTGTAGGCCTACTTTAGAAGCCAACAGAACCTTGGCTTTAACTCTATTTTTCTTATTAAGTAATACTTGGCAAATCCCTTAGCTAATTTGAAGTTTAGTTTCCTCAGCTATAAACATCTGTCTTGAAAGATTGTAGTTCTTTTTAATGTAAATCCTGTCTCCATGCTGTCTAGAACATAACCAGCATAAAGCAAAGGCTATTTTTTTCTCTTTTCAGACTTTGAGTTACATAAATCATAAGATACATAATGCAATTATATCTATAAATATTAATCTGCATCTTTCCTGTATAATTTCCTTACCATCTTCACATTATTTTTCAAGGCCGCATTTTTTTTCTTTTGCTCAACTTCCCTGTGGTAAAGCAAAGACACTCACGTATCAGTGTATGACAGAAAGACTAAACATAGGCTTACACAGCAGCCTCAGAGTAGACAAGAACAGACTCACACACGGAAGAGGAAAAGATGGAGGGATACTAGGTAGAAGTGCCCTAGATACCGAATGGAGAAAGGAAATAACATCTAACTTTTCAAGATCTACAGTAACAACCCAAAGGAGCTGAGAGTTGAGATTATATGATTGGTAAACATTTACAGTTGTGAAGGTGCATTTTTTGCACCACATGTGGTCTATCTTCTTGAATGCTCCATGGGAGTTTAAGGAGAATATGTAGTCGTCTACTACTGTTGGATGAAGTAGTCTATCGATGCCATTACCAATAGTGACGTTGAGTTTTAATCTCTAGCAGTTTGTATTCAAATGTAGCATTAGAGATTGTCTACTGGTTATTCCTGCTGGACGATGTTTAGCTCCACAGCTTTAATAGTGGATTCATAGACTTTTCCTTGCAGCTCGACCAAGGTTCCTCCTTTTTTTATGAAACACGTAATGTCAAAAGTATTTGTGAGTTATAATTTTGTATTCTAATTGTGTATAATATGTACCAATAAAATGGGGAATTAGCATTTTTATCAGGCTTTGAGTCACATATTTTGATGCTTTATTTTTATGGACATAAGTGTTAAAGATTGTTATGTCTTTGTGAAATACTGATTTTTTTTTGTAATTATGTAATGGCCCTTCATTCATAGTAATTCCCTGCCCTTGGATTCTATTGTCTTTTAACTATGTAGTTACTTCCACTTCCTTTTAGTGTTAGTATATTTTCTCCAACTCTTTATTTTTAATCTATATATGTCTATTTATTTGAAGTGGTTTCTTATAGACAAACTTATAGTTGAGTCATAATTTTGATCACTTATGGAAAAATCTTTATGATTTAGTTCTCATCTCAAATGTATTCCTCAGATCTCAAATAAACTTTTGACTAATCAAAATTATTAATCTCTCATGTAATCAGAAAATTGTCACTTTATTTTATCACTTTTTAAATATTTGTCTTTACGGTACTTACTTTGCTGTCTTCTGATTTTTCCTAGAGCCTAAACATAGGGCATAAAGACATTCAAAAATTTAGGCTTATTTTTTTCTTTCACTATTCAAGTAAGAGATAAGATGGAGACACATTTTTTTTTTGAACATGGCTGTAGTCACCAGCTTCAGAGGCAGCTCATAGATTCCTACCTCTTTTATTTGTGTGCTTATGTCATTCTCTCATCTTAAGTATGACAGATTTATGGACTTGCTTCTAATCAATAAAATATAGCAAAATATATTTTGTTATTTATCATTTTTGATTCTTTGTTTTGCTTTGGAGATGGTCTTATTATGTAATTCCACCTGGTCTGGACCTCATTATGCAGTCTAGGCTTGCCTCAAATTCACAGCAATCCTCCTGCCTAAGTGCTGCAATTACAGGCATGTAATATCATGCCACAACTAAGTCTGATTATTCTGACACTAGGTTACCAAAGAACTGTGGTCTGCTTGGAGTGTCTCTTACATTCTCACTCATGTGCTTTGAGGAAATTAAAGCACAGCTGCCACATCTGAGTTGCTCAGAAGGTCCAGAATTGATTTCTCAGTTGTTAATGTTTTGATCATGGGTGTCCCTCAAAGGTCTCAGTGTTCAGTGATGGAACTTTTGGAAGGTGACTAGATCATGGGGATGCTGTACTTAACAGTGGATTAATTTATGGATGAGCTCAGGGAGAAATACACAGTAAGGAGGTGGGGCTTGGTTGGAGGTGGGGCACTGAAGGCTTCCTGGAAGGGTATGTCTCCCTTTCTGGCTCCTTGCTTATCCCTCTGCCTCCTGGCTACCAAGATGTAAGCAGCTTTGCTTCTCCAGACCCTTACACCATGCTATTTCTGCTTGAGAAAACTGTGGACTAAAAATACAAACCTAAATAATAATTTTAAAAACAAACTCCTCTTTTACATTGTTGGTGTTAGGTACTATATCCAGTGAAGAGAAACTAACTAGTACAGAATTTGGTACTAGAGAAGTTGAGTCATTTCTGTTTTTTTGTTTTGTTTTGTTTTTGTTTGTTTGTTTTTTGTAGAGACAGGGTTTCACTATGTAGTTGAGATTGACCTGGAACTCACTAAGTAGTCCAGGCTGGTCTCAAACTCACAGCAATCCTCCTGCCTCAGCCTCCTGAGTGCTGGGATTACAGGTGTTGAGTCATTACTGTTACATGTGGTTCAGAAAGCTTTGGAACTGGTTTTTAAGAGGAGTGTGGAAAGGTCTGAAGATACTAACAAGAGAAACTTTAGAATGTTATAAGCAAAGCAAAGATTTTTGTTGGAGCTCAGAAGATCAGACTGCTAATAGAAATCTAAATGGTAAAGGCAAGGATCAGGAGGTTTCAGGTAGGACAAGGACACTATTGGCATTTATACTTGAGTCTCATATATTTTGGTAGGCAATTTGTCTACATCTTGCCCATGTTCTCAGACTTTGTGGGGGACTGAGATTAAGAGAAGTAGAGCAATTAAAGACAAGTTTGAAGTCAGCCCCACTTTTAGGCTGTAGCATGAGTACCTTCGTGCTTTTAGTGAGATCTACACTAAGAAACAATAGAAAAAGGTATGTTTAAAACTTTTCAGTATTCCAAGAAAAAAAGCATCTGAAGAGTTGTAGCAATGGAGAGACATAATTGCTGAAAAGATTAACATTTAAAAATCTCTCCAGGGGCTGGGGATTTAGCTCAGTGGCAACATGCCTGCCTTACAAGCACAAGGTCCTGAGTTTGATCCCCAAGACCAAAAAAAAAAAAAA